AAGCTACTGGAACCTGAACCACTGCAGGGCGGCTCAAGATGTGCTGTCGCAGGCTGAGGGACTTCAACGCGTGGGCGCAGGACTGGGGCTGCCCGAGAACGCATGCAAGAGGGAGAGTGATGAGAGAAACTTTTGCCTCACTCGATCTCGTACCGCTAAACGAGGGAAACCAGCACACCTTCAGCCCGCCTATGCTGAATCCATTGTAGATCTAACGTTCGCAAGCCCCTCGCTAGCGACTGGCGGTAACTGGAAGATAAACGGCAGCTTTACGGTCAGTGACCACGAAGCCATATTGTGCTCAATTGGGAGCCCTCAAGAACGACCGAGGAAACCGAACCCACGAGACTACAGAGTCGGTACGCTCCAGGTGAGGAACTTCACCGAGGCAGCGTGCGACATCGGCAACGTCCCACCAAGCGGAGCCAACGAATTGGCTGACACCCTGGCAGGTAAGCTCGAGGCAGCATGCATGGCGAGCATGCAGTTGATGGAACCGCTGCCACAGAAACCACGCTCCCGTTTACTTTTGATTACTGGAGATTGGCTCCATCCGAGCGGAGTGTATGAGAGCAAGGAGGATGATGCAGCGAGCGAGAGGCAGCGACAACTTTGAGGAGTGGCACCTAGCCTTCAAGGACCGTCGTAAAGCACTGAAGGTGGCCATCCGAGATAGCAAAAGAAAATGCTTCCTGGAGATATGTGACTCGGCGGAGGAAAACCTATGGGGCAACGGGCTAGTGGTGAAGAGGCTGCGCGTAGGAGGCTGGCCACCGCCAGGTCCCCAACGGACCCGAACGGACTAAGTACCATAGAGCGAGCGCTGTTCCCAGCCGGCAGTCATGTCACCCAGCTACCTACCCCCCCCAAAAGACATTGAAGTGGTTGAGGGGTGAACGGAAGAGGAAGTTCTGGCCTCGGTTCCTAACCGCGCCCTGAAGCTGGCTCTGGCACTGCAGCCGGGCAGTTTTGCGCAGTTATAGAACTAATGCATCCACGAAGGCACTTTTCCCACCAGGTGAAAGGTGCAGAAGCTCCTGCTGTTACTCAAACCAGGGAAACTTGCTGGACACATCGGACAAGGTCTTCGAGAGGGTGATCGCTGTAAGGCTCGAAGTCGCCATAGAGAAGGTCGGCAGTGGATGCCATAGCAGCGGTGGTTGGCATAGCACGCTAAGCAATAGCGGGAACCAGGTGCCTTATAGTCACCCTGGACATCAAGAACGCCTTCAATACGGCGGACTGGGGCAAAACACTGGCAGCTCTAAGGCGGTTTAACGTCCCAGTGCCTTAATGAACGTTGTCAGTAGTTACTTTAGCTGCAGAGTGCTACTTGTGGACACGGACATGGGCACGGAGTCCTACGACGTTACGGCGAGTGTGCCCCAAGGATCGGTCCTAGAACCGCTGCTGTGGAACTTCTTGTATGACGTGATCCTGAGGCTGCAGCTCCCAGCGGGATGCGACGTCGTCGGCTTCGTAGACGCCGTAGCGTTGGTGGTTGTGGCCAAGCATAGGGAGGAAGCGGAAAGAGCGGCAAACAAGGCAATGGAGCAGTGGCTCCAAAATGCTGGACTAAGCCTAGCCCCGCAAAAGATGGAAGCGGTGCTGGTCAGCAGCCGCAAGGTCCTGGAAACGGTGACGATTCAGGTTGGTGGAATGGCCATGACCTCCCAGCGGGCCATAAAATACCTTGGTGTGATGATCGACGCCTGGCTCTCCTTCCGCGAGCACCTTGATTATATCCAGGGCAAGGCTGCAGCCACTACCAGGTGCCTTGCCAGGATCCTTCTAAACACCAGAGGCCCCAAGCAGAACAGGAGAAGGCTCCTCGTGAGGGGTAAATCTGTACGCAGTGCCCATCTGGGCTGAGGCGATGAATATGCCCAGCTACAGGAGAGGGGTAGATGCAGCGTACAGGCTGGCAGCCATAAGAGTAGCGTCCGGTTTTAGGACAGTCTCCGACGACGCCATTCTTGTTATTGCGGGGATGGTCCCGCTGAAAGAGCGCGCTCGACAGATCAAGGGGCTAAAGGAAACTCGCGCTCGCTATGAGGGTGGCTGGCGACACCCTTGATAAGTATAATTACAAGGGAGGAGGCCAAGGAGAGATCGCTCACAGCCTGGCAGGATTGCTGCAGGGAAATGTTCGCAACGAAAAAATCACCCGGGATCTGGGCATCCTCGCAGTGAAAGACGAAATCCAGAACCAAAAAGAGTCATACAAAGAAAAACTGTATTTGCACCCAAGATTTCTAGCATATCCCGCCTTCGACGCAATGACCTCCCAACCCAGCAATCGATTTTTAGGGCCGTCTAATTCTGTATCAGTCAATATGACTGTTAGTTAACTTAAAAATATAAGATTTGATACACCTCTTGTTAAACTCGCAAAGAGAAGATCCAAGAAAAAGAAGCAACGTTTTCGAAAAAAAAAACAAAGTAAGGCAAACACAGACACAGCCTGGGAGGCGTACAAAGCAAACCTCAAGCACTACAACAAGGAACTGCGCAGGGCAAAGAGGAATGCCTGGACCAAGTTCTGCACGACCATTCAACAGACTTCGGAGGCCTCCCGACTCAGGAAGGTACTCGCAACAACTGCATCTAACGTAGAATACATTAAAACTTCGGATGGTAGCCGGACCACGTCCTCCTGAAACCCTAGAGGCTCTCACAAATGCACATTTCTCAAGGTGTTCTCAGGAGAAAACAACCCAGGAAACGCAGAGACAGGGGCAGTTTCCCCCTCCCGAACCAGCTCGAATATCTCCTAAGTAATAGGTATCTCAGCTGGGCGATAAACAGCTTCAAGCCTTTCAAATCCAGCCGCAGGCCCAGAAGTCATTTTGACGGCACAATTAATTAAAGCCGGATTCAATCTGTGGTCTTGGGCTAGGAAAGCTTTCTCAACAATTTTCAGACACTTAGCTACATAGGCATCGTGCATGCGACGTGGTTGCGGACAAAGGTTGTATTTATAGCCAAAGTGGGAAAATCATCGCACTACACCCTTAAGGACTTCAGACCTATAAGCCTGTCGTCCTTCCCCCTCAAGTCAATGACTAATTACTAATCTAAGCCACCTAATCAGCCACCACATTAATCTTAGCTTTAACCAAGATGATATCTCGGGATCACAGCACAAAATCACTACGTTCGTCGAAAAAGCACTTAGTGACAAGGAATACGCATTTATTGCTTTTCTAGGCATAGAAGGTACGTTCAACAACATCCTGCCATGTTCGATAATCAATGCGCTGACGAGACTAGGGATAGACGATCAATAAAGAAGGTCTTGGTAAACATTAGGAGGAGATCCATATCTATTCAAAGATACGTCAGAAGAAGCACGCTGCCAGGAGGTGTACTTTCCCCCCTATCCCAAGAAGGTGGTGGTTACAAAGTTATCGCTTTTTTATCTTTTTACGTCACAACTTCCTTCTCTGGAAAATTTCCCCAAACTCTATGCGACCGCATGACGGACAAACTGAGGGTTCTCTGAACATGGGCAGTTAAGAACGGACTAGGAGTAAATCCATCCAAGACCGAGCTTGTCCTCTTCACCAGGTAGTACAAAATACCATACTTACATAAATCTACTTAAAGCTTCCAAAACTATTGTGGGAAACACGTTCCCTCATGCCAAGAGCTAGGGATTACGCTAGACAGGAAAATGAACTGAAAGTTTAACACTATGAATAAAGCAAGCAAGGCGACAACCACGCTCTATACATGCCGCAACGCCATTGGACTCAGATGGGGAATGCCCTAAAAGAGTGTAAGATGGCTATACACAGCGGTAATAAGACCCATCCTATTCTACGGGGTGGTGGTCTGGTGGCCTTCTCCAACAAACTTTATATGTAGAGAGAGCTTTTGGATAACGCAAAGGATGGTGGAGGTCTGCATTACAATCCGCCTACGTACTACGTAGTCATACTCGACCCATTACCTGTAAAGATAGTGGGGGTGAAGATAGCCACGCTATCGGAAATTAAACTACGCGAAGCGGGTCTATGAAAAAGGACCAACTATGGACACACCAAGTTGGACCTACACCACTTCACGCCTAGGGGCCTACAAACTACTGTATACCTGGTGATTATCCCACCTTAAAATATAAGGTATCCATTCCAACGAGGGAGGAATGGGCCACACAAATCCCGGGACCAGACGGTTCTCTTCATATTTACACAGACTGTTCAAAATTGAATGGCCAGGTGGGAGGCGGCTTTTACTGCGAGCGGCTCGTGTCTAAATGAGTCCTTCAGACTCCCCGTCAACTGTAGTGTGTTCCAAGCAGAAGTAAAAGCTATCGGGGAAGCACTTTGATCCCCAGCACTTACTGGCAATCAAGACATTATTTGTATCTACTCGTATCCCCTCCTTCCGGAGAAAGAACTAGTAGGCATTCTTTTTGCTACGAGTAGGCTAAAATGCAGGGACCACTTTGACCTGGTAGCATTGAGGAAATGAAGGAATCTCCAAAACTGCAGGAACTCACGCAAGATATGGCCTATCCGCTCTAGGAAAAGATCAATGATGCTTATCACCCTCAATAAACAGGACTGCAATATTGTGGTCAAGGGACCGCGAGCGACCGCAGGAAGGACAGTACTCCTTTGGGCAGGAATAGTAGAAGGGGGGAGGTCCCCTTTGTAAGATCCCTTGCCTGTGTGGTATCACAAAGAGCACCAACGGCTCAAGTGAATGGGGGTGTCAGTGACTGACGCCGCATCGCCGCCTCAGCCTAACCAAACCTACTCGCGGTATTGATGCAGTTATTAACCGCGTGGTTGTTACAATACCGACGTTTTGTCCCAAGCACCCAGATTTATGGCTATCGCAAAAAATTTTTTTTTTTTTTTATTATCAATCATTCAAAAGTTACATTTAAAATCTGTCCGGAATTATGAACAGTAATTAAATTTTTTAATGATACCTTAACTTAATGGAATATTGAGTAATACGTCATAATGTACAAATATGATTTTTGCTTGTCCTACGAACTACTTTTAACTTTAATTTTTGTTTAAGCCTTGACGTTTCAATTAGAATTTTATGGTGAACCCTTTAGTGGGCGTGGATAAATCTAGAAATGCAGCTCAGTCCTATTCGTTCGAGTGGCAAAGGTCCAGTGGGTGAGTCCGTTTCAGCCTCCTAGTGGTGTAGCTGTTGTCTAACAGGTTGATGGCCTCATGGTTGGGATGTCGATCCAGTCTCTCCACGTATCTGTTGGCGAATCGCTGAACTTCTGCTTACACGGATGGGACTCCCAGTTGGGCGTGGATTGTTGCGTTATCGTGGTACAGGTGAGCTTCGGTTATAGCTCTTAAAGCTTTGTTTTGGGCGATCTGGATGATATTTTGGTTGCTTAGACACGCCGTTCCCCATCGCAAAAATAATATGTTTCAAAATAACAAACCTTGTAGAACGCTAAACGCTGGGGCTACTTAGGTAAATTCAAATATTGAATCTTCAAATATTGCCAAATTGCTATAATAGATTTTTTTTTTGCTGACTTGTCCTAACAACTTTCTGCTGTAGAAAGGAGAATGTTTTCTTTTTCGATTCCGGAATCGGTGGTGTTGCCGATCCATGTTGTGCCTGAGACAAGTAGTTGCAAATCTCATCCACCAAGGCTTCCGCTTTCGATGGAGACAGAATATAGTCTGCATTCAATGCAGACAGGAGACAGCTGCATTTGATGGAGACATTAAACAATCCTTCTTAAACCGTGGACCCAGTATTGTTGGCACTCCGGGATCGGTTCTTACCTCGTAGTGGTTGAATCGTTTTGGCATTAGTACATTTGTACAACTTACTACTGGAATACGGATTTTCCTTCAATGGTCTTCAAATCTTCCTAACCTTACTACGCATTCAACGTCTCCGTTAGGTATCTGCATGTATGCCAAAAAACTTTCATATGAATACAAAATGAATTGAATTCATTGACTGCGTATTCGTTTTGGTTAGAGTGAGTGAGCGATTGTAAGTGAGCAAGTTAAAGTGATTGAGCACGAGCGTCCGACTCAGTCGCACAAAATTGAAACGACGAAGTAATGGCATTAGAGTGCGAACGAATGAAACCAAGTTTTCGAATGCTAAGCCGTTTTTTTGTTGTTTCAATTAAGAAAAATTAAACTCAATGAAACTTTTTGCAGAAAATGAAATCAATATCAAGTTTTAATATTAAAAAAATATTTTCTCTTAATTATTAACTTGTGACTTTTATTTGAATTATTTATTTTTGAAATTAAAAAAATATATTTTTTTTTAATTCATAGTAATATTTAGTCTTTCGACATTTTAACACAAAACAAACAAATTAAAAAAAAGGTAATAGCGCATTAAATATTTTTACATTTGTCATCCGACACATAAGCAAACGACAGCTTTAACTGCCCAGACAACCGAACACTTTTCATGTTCAGGACGAAAAGTCAGATTCCCAGCCAAGTATTTTTCCCAACTGGAACTCTAAGGGGGGGTTCTTTGGCAACCCTCATCAGCTTTCGAGCGATATCCCGGGATCGAGGCAGTTATTCGGAATCGCATAGCTGTTTAAATACCGCTTCGGCCTGAGCCCCCAGAGTTATGGCTTATGGTTGAAGTACACTAAGAAAAATAATTATTTTTTGTATAAAATAACAACATCGATGATTAAAGCCACGAAGATGTTTAGTTTCCATGGAAGTGACGATAATCGACGTTAAAAAAAACATCGATGTTGAAGAAAATGTAGGCTACTTCGATGCTATCGATGTTTCTTCCACCTCCACCTTGTACACAGATATAAAAACATGTTTTCGAAGGAATATTTTTTAGTTAGGCACTACCATGATACAATTATACAAGGTAGTCCATTCGTTGAATTATAGTCCCTTTTTTTAATTTTAACACAGTAAGTGTGAGTGAAACGGCTATACAGTACTTCGATTAACCTTCGAATAACCGATTAATTAACCTTAGTTTTGACAAGAGTTGTAGTGTTTATAATTTTATTTTAATAAGTTTTGAGTTTGACATTATTCTTTGTTTTTGTTTTTTTGACAGCCATTCTCTTGTTTAAGTTCTTAATTCTAAAGCAGTGGTCGGCACCCCAATACATTGATATCATTTTACCGCATTAGTGTTAGTAACAAATAGCAGAAAGTAGGCATGACGTTTCACACATTTATACTGTATGTGTGTGGCAGAGCTCGGGCAGAGGAATTTCCTATGCCCCCGAGATAGGGCCGTGCCGACCTCTGTTCTAAAGTATATACGTATCTTAAAATAAAATTTTTTTTATTTTTTATAAATATCAACCTGCTCAGCGGCGTTCAACAACGTCTGTTTTAAATTATTAGCTAAAAAAATTTAAAAAAAAACAAACTTTACGCCTAGCACGTCCGCTGTTGAAATTCCGATAGCGATTTTGCACTTTATTCAGCTACCGAGGTAGTGTGACCAAAAAAATTAAGAAATAAGGTAATACTGAACAGCTGTTGTTTGTAAACAAAAAACAAATAAGCAAAAATGAATTCAAAACGATTGGATGTTGGTGTTTTGTTTATGTATTTCGCCGCTAAGGAGCTGATTAAGATATAGAAAACTGGGTCAAAATCAAAATCAAAATCAATCACAAATCATTTCAATGCCATTTTATGGAATTAAAATGCCCCTTGTGGGTCAAATCCCATATTGTGGGCTTCGCCTTGACCGCAGAAATTAATTTTAATTTGTCCTGGCGCGTCGAAAATTTTTCGGACCGACTTTTTTTTTGTTTGATCAATTGACCCTCCATGTCACTCCTATAGAAATAAATGAAAATATTTCTTTTAACTCCCCGAGAGCAGCTGTTTATTTTTTTTTGATCCGGCAACACGTTTAGAATCGATAACAAAAATTTTCGTCAACTCAGTACCCGCAAAATCTAGAAGGCAAAAATTTCTTCCTCTTCCCTTTTTTACACCGTTTTTTTTTATATGGAGTTTGACAGCTGTCACTCGTTGGACAGCGGATTTTCGTCAACTCAGTACTATGCTTTAATTTTTGAAAAAAAAATCACCTTTCAGTTTGACCAGCAGGCACGCCCTGAAATTAAGGGACCAAAACCCGAACGATTTGTCAGCCGAATAGACTACCTTGTATAATTGTATCATGGGCACTACAGTCATACCATCGAAATAATTGAATTTAAAAATCTTTAATTTTTGAAACATCTGATATAGGTTTTTTTATGTCATAGAAGTATTTTGTTAATTTTATATTTATTTGGGTGTAACAATTTTAATTTAAAATGGCTTATGTTACAATTGGCCTAATGCCTTGTCATTGAATTAGCATCCTATATATGTACATACATAGAAACCTGTAAAATTTTCATATGTAAATTTTTGGTATTTTTTTTCAATTTAAGTATTTTTTGCGAAAAGACCCTGTCAAAAACGGTTTATGTCGGTAGATGAAAAACTTTTTTTGTCGATCTGAATACGACACCATATAAAAATAAGTTTTTGTCGATATGAGTATTAGGCTTCACTACTAGGCTAGATTTTCTAAAAGATTAATTTTATACCATTTGACAAACTATTCCCTTAGTATATTATATTGATTATGGTATTATGGAAATATACTAGCCTGGTTACTCTAAAAGAAGTAAATTTATGTTTTAATGTTATAAATTGATTCAAGGTCTGAACACAAAACAACGAAATTTAATGTTTTCGTCGAATTATAAATAATTTTTTACCATTCAGTCGTAAAATCTAGGGTTAAATTTACACCTAAGTGTCATAAAATCGTGAGTGAAATCAGAATTTAATCTGTGTATGAGTGTTTAAGTATATATGTACATACATAAAAAAAAATCAAATAACTTTCCTGACCTGCAATAAGTTTGAAGTCTCAGCTATAGTTAACATATGTAGAAAAAGTATTGGTTTTACTTACAGAATAAAATGTATTTCTTTTTAAAGTAGCTGCTGAACGTTTATGAAAACAATCTTCAAAGCTTTAAATGAAAATAAATATTAATGAAACGTGTAAAATTTTGACAAGGCAAACTTCTAAAATGTCATTCTTAGGAAAATCGCATATGTGCTCAATATAAAAAATACATATGTAGACATATATTTAGCTTTGAATACACTTGTAATAACAATGGCGCAGAGTCCAGTTCAAGCTCAGCCAAACACTGATGCCTCCTCAAGTAGTGGAACTGCCCTTGGAATGAATATAGGAAAAGTCATTGCAGGGTCCAGCTCTCCAAAACAAGTTAAAAACGAACCATTTTCCACAACGTCGCCGGGTATGTGATCCTTATATGTTGATATAATTTAGGTTCTGTTTTATATATACGTTATATTTTAAACTATTTATAGAGCAATCTAAAATTCCTGAAGAAATTTCGGAAAAAGCTGGAACATGTAACGAAAAGAGTTTAGCTATTCCTACTAGTGGCAAAGGTGGCGTAGGAACCAATTGTTCAGATGGTCAATCATTAAAAACGGCATGTGTTGGAGGTGCTACGAATACACCTATTCTGAGGCAAAATTCTTCAAGCAGTGTAAATTCTTGCCTAGGCACTTCTCCAAACACCAGCGAACTTTCAAATAGTAGTAATTTGTCTTCTGTTGCTACTGCTGCGTTAAATCAAATTGTGGACAGTGACGTTCAGAAGGAGGATCATGCTAAAAAAAAGATGACTGGAAATGAAGAAAATATGGGTAAGGTCCTACCTATTAAATTGATTTTTTCTCCGTTTAACGGATTTAATCCCGTAGAAAAAACGTCCTGCAAAGCTAAAAACTTAGGTTCTGGAATTGGATTGGCATCTGGATTGTCAATAACTGGCACTATAAAGGAAGAACCAGCGGATATTCTTAATAGTTTGGTGAATATAAAAAAAGAAGAAAGAGAAAACCTGTCGCCAAGTATATCACCTGTTGGGTTTGGTTCTATTGGGCTGGACAATTCAAACACCTCTGGTACGACGAAAAAATTGTTAACATAGTTTATTGTGTAAAAAGTTAATTTGTGCTTGTTTACGAATTTATTTGCCTAATTTATTACCATTCAAAAAAAGTGTTTCCTGAAATTAGAATGTGATGTTGTTTTATGTTAAAAAATTAAATTGATAATCTGCATAAGGCCTCATCAATTTCGTAGGTTTAGAAATTTGATTGGACACACGTAAGGTAAAAATGTTAGCTTTTTGTCACGAGGTTGGCGTCCCACTGAGGTTCAATTTGAAATTGTCTATACACATCAAGCGTTACATACTCAAGACTCAAGAGCTATTTAATTTACTTGGTCACATTGTAGATATTTTTATTGCACTAAAAACCGATTGTGCACAACAATAGATTGTGGGCGAAAAGTGTATACGAAAAAATCGTTTGTAGATGGCCGATCCTTATGAGAATATCATAATAAAACCAATTTATTTCGATACAAAAAAAGTCCCGAGCTTCTATCTTTAAAAAAATCAGAGTTGGTATTTTTACCAAATACCATTTCCGATCGTTTAGCTAAAGGATATACTCGGCCGATCCTTATTAAATTTGGTAGGTGGGATCAACTAAAAATAGCCAAAGCAGAATCTGTACAAAGTTTGAACTTTCTATCTTCAAAAAAAACTTTTTATCAAACACTAGTTGACACGGCGCACATTGTTCCGCCCTTATGACTATAAATAAGCAGATTGTTTTTTTTTATTATTTCATTCATTATTATTTCTGTATTTTAGTACATAGGTTGCTCTTCACCTAAGTACCTTATGATAGACGACATTTTTTGTTTTATTATCAGGCGCAAAAACAAACAACGCAGATGGTCTTCCGACCCGTGAACATGCCGCTTATAATTCACCATGGGAAAAAAATGAGTGTTCTAGATTTAAACCACAAACATTTTAGGATTGGCCTTGTGATTGGTTGATGATCATGGCAAATGCAAGACGTATTGGAAATTCATATCGGAATTTCCGAATTCTTATAAATTTAAACGGTTATATCGGTTGGGATTATCGGGATCCTCGAAATAAGAACTTCTTCACCTTTGAATTTTTCTATGATTATCATAGTGTAAATTACATTGTTCATCAACTTTCTAACCACCAAACGCGTTGCACAGTTTTGGTTGGTTTATGTCAAAGAGTTTAAAATTCAATAGGATGGTTGGTGGCTTCATCTTCATTTGTGTCGCTCACTCAACCATTCATTATTTTTTTAGTTAGAAATAATTTTTGGAAATACATTGTTGATACGTTCGTCTTTTGATAAGACAAAATTACAGAAATTATTTGGAAATGATATTAATCCGCTCGATTCATCGAAAAAAGGTACTTGACCATTATCGATAGTTAGCAATTACTCCGAGAAATCTTTAGAAGATGTATCATTATGCAATGTAACTCTCATGTTTGTTGTAAGCTGCAGTTTCTTCACATAGCGCCATAGATTTGACGATTTGAGCCAAGCGTTTATTTCGTCGGAAGCCGTAGATCTTGGAATTACTGCCAGTATTTGGCGGAAATAGGCAGACAGTAAAATAAGTGATCCTCCAAAACATCTCGAGTCATTGCATAAATCTTTTAATGTTCGGTTAAGGGGAGGTTCTTTTGGATTTTTTTGAAAAAATCTTTTTTTTTTTAATAAAATGAAAGTTACATATGTGTAGAATATACGTGCCAAGGGATTTTTTGATACGACGCGTATTTCTTGAGCTAGAGCGTTTCAAACATACCCATGATAACAAGAAAGCTATGTAAAGGCAAAGTTTCTAAAAACTTTAAACGCGTTTTTCTCGGAACCATGTTTTTAAACCTCTTGTCGCGCACAGGGCTCGTTCTATTGATCCGATTTCCTTCATTCCAAAAATGTTTAAAAGTACATATTTTTTTGTATGCCTTATACCTAAAATTGGCATAAAAAATTGTTTATTTATAATTTTTAAACGAGATCAAAGTAAAAAAAAAAGAGAAAACATGTCATGTTTTTTTTTAAACGTCCATGAAATTGGTTTATTTTTACCAAAATTAATTGTCGTTAGGTATAAGGCATAGGAAATTCCATCAATTTTAATAAATTATATACATTTTTAATTTAAGTTCACTACCAGCGGCCCTACACTCCACAAAGCAGAAAAATAGAGGTCTACGAGATCCGCCATTTTGAAGCCGCCATTTTGAATTTCCTGAATATTGAATATTTTTTTTACTCGTTAATAAACAACGAATCAAAAGTTCAAAAGCATAAGTTCGTATGTCTTTTCATTTTCCCGCAATCCATTCTCAAAGTTTGCTTAATTTTCGGAAAAATCCAAAAGAACCTCCCCTTAAGTGCTTCTAATGCACGTTTATGCGCCATTGTCCCAGATGATGATTTTCGATGCCGCTAAAACTTTGGCCATTCTTGAGTGATTTGCAATATTGCACTTTAGTTCTTCAATAGTGTGAAGATTTAACGGTAATTTTAATTTTGAATGAGCCGTATCCTTCTAACAATGTGGCTGCGATTCCAGAAGAAGCAACTGCAACCGCTTTGTTTGATCTCGCCCGAACAGTTGCTAAAACTAATGACATGAGTAATGTCCTGCCAGTACCACCAGGGACATCTAAGAAATATAAAACACCATTTTCATCATCGATTGCCTTTATTAAAGTATCATAAACTTCCTTTTGTTGATAATTCAACAGGGGTACATTCGTTTGATCATATTGACGTTCCCGTTCCAATTCTCGATTAAATGCGTCATTCATTTCAAGATATGGCGCTGGCATTCCTAATTCCTGATTAATTCTAATTAATTCCTAATTCCTGATAAATAAATTACCGCAAATAAGGTAACACATATCTTCGATCAAGAGTAAGGCAAGTTTAATGTAATGTAAAATGTAAAATATCCTCTGACATATTATCCTTGTATTTGTGCCACAGGTGGCCACACAAGAAGATGCCACCAGATGAATAATTGACATACGACATAATAATTGGATACGACAATCGCTGAAGCCATTATCTCTGCATCCGTCTTTGAAAATTCTTGAATGAAGCATTCCAAGTATAATAACGTGGCATCTTCTTGTGTTGCCACCTGTGTTTCGCCACAAAGCAATAAATACAATGGCTCATGTGGCGGAGTCAAATCACCAACGCCTATGTTAGTGGCCGAGAAAATAATGCGAATAAACCCTCTCCTGTAAAATTTGCCGCTTGGAGCTTACGTTATTTTCGCAAATAGGGCCAGTGCTGTGCGCGAATTTCTGTAGCGCCAGTGCTTATTAACCATTTCTTATTACTTATTAACCATTTCTACAGTTAATATATATATATTTGAACGCTTGGAGCTCAAATACTATAAAAGATAGAGCAATCCGAGTTGGAACTTAAACTTGTATGGTATCCGCGGAGATTAAGTTTGTGTCAAAATTTCTACGTTTGTTCCACGCTCACTCCCACATCCCACACAAAAATCTGATGTTAGCGCAAGTCGTTAATGTTTTCGGAAAATGTTTTGATACCAAATTGTTCCAATTGCGAATCCTCACCTAAAAATCAAAAAGCAGTCATATTCGATAATTTTTGAAGGAGTTAGAGACTTTTAGTCTGCTTCCCTATGCGGTCTGTTTTTGTTTTTCCCAAGCGCAAAAGGGTGCAACAAAAATTTGTTGCTTAGAATCCATACCGTTAAAGTTTAAACTTTAAAGGTTAGGTACATTGTGGGTGGAAGAGATGAGTTTATATTATAGTCAGAACACATGTTAATTAATTAACATGTTTAATTTTCTAACTCTTTCCTCAAAAGTCGCTGAAAAGTTATGTCGGGTCAGGCAGGAGCCGCTGTTTTAGTGTAATGTTTATTTATTAGGCTTACTTATGTACAAATCGCTTAGTTGGTCGCAAGGTGACTCTCTCTCGACCGCACGACTTCGACGGGCCTTTCTTTAGAGATTTCTAGGTCGGACCGTTATCGAGATCTTCAGTTTCATAATATCGAGTCGCCCCGCACCCTCTGTACATAACATTAAGTCCCTGCATGCACCATAAACTGGTCTATCAATTATGATCATTCGGTTTATTCTGCATGCAGAAGAAACAGAATAACAGATAAACAGATACTTTTATTTAAATTGCTTTTATATTTACATTATTATGAATGTATTCGTAGGTAGTTGGAATTGTCAATAAACAAAAAAATGTCTCTTTGTTTTTATGTCCGGTACTAGTAGATTGAATGTATGTAACATCAATCAAGTTACTGTTGAAATTTATTAAAATTTTAATTCGTTGTGTATTGTTTAGTTTTTCTCCTAATTAAAAACAGTCTAAATTATACACAAATGCAATATAAGAAATTAGTTAATTAGAAAGCCGTAAACTATTAAGGGGAGGTTCTTTTGGTTTTTTCCGAAAATTAAGCAAACTTTGAGAATGAATCGCGGGAAAATGAAAAGACATACGAACTTATGCTTTTGAACTTTTGATTCGTTGTTTATAAACGAGTAAAAAAAATATTCAATATTCAGGAAATTCAAAATGGCGGCTTCAAAATGGCGGATCTCGTAGACCTCTATTTTTCTGCTTTGTCGAGTGTAGGGCCGCTGGTAGTGAACTATATAATTTATTAAAATTGATGGAATTTCCTATGCCTTATACCTAACGACAATTAATTTTGGTAAAAATAAACCAATTTCATGGACGTTTAAAAAAAAACATGACATTTTTTCTCTTTTTTTTTACTTTGATCTCGTTCAAAAATTATAAATAAACAATTTTTTATGCCAATTTTAGGTATAAGGCATACAAAAAAGTATGTACTTTTAAAAATTTTTTGAATGAAGGAAATCGGATCAATAGAACGAGCCCTGTGCGCGACAAGAGGTTTAAAAACATGGTTCCGAGAAAAACGCGTTTAAAGTTTTTAGAAACTTTGCCTTTACATAGCTTTCTTGTTATCATGGGTATGTTTGAAACGCTCTAGCTCA